GAGCGGAGCTAGGCGGAGTGAGACATGCATCTGGCTGTTGTCAGGTTAGGAGAGCTGAGCATAATGTCAAGACGGGTTTTGTGTTTCTTGAAAGTTCAGGGTTCAGTGGGTCCTCCTGTGCTGTTGCAGCGAGTAACGTAGACTTCAGGGTTTAATGTGTATGCGGAGAGGAGCTTTTTGAACTCCTGCAGGGGGCAGTAGACTCCACTGCAACCTGGTATGAGTTGATCCTGGGAAGCATGAAGCAAATGTGACTTGGATGAAGGGAAAGCCAACAGCTTTGATGGTTGGGTCGATTAGAGGCGTGCCTTACCTGGCCTATGTAGGACACCTTTACAAATGCATCTCCGGTCTGCCGGTGTTGGTGCAGCTCCAGAGTGATATCAGCAGCATATGGTGGCCATTTCATGTCGTAGATTTCCAAAGCCATGAGGCAGGGAATCAGAGTGGTGTCATGGGCTGAGTAAAGGAACAACTTCCTGTTGAGAGAGTTAATCCTTGAAAAAAATCTCTGTTTTGGGAAAGAAGTGAAGGTGCTCGATGTGAGGTGTCCAACCTGTTGGCCTCTGCTGAGCTGTCCTGTAGCTTCTTCTCAATGTTGTCTAACAGCAGGTGGAGGAGAGATCCCACCGACAGCTGGAGCTTCTCACTGTCACAGTATATAGCATTTAAAAATACCTTAATGAGCAGAACCAGCATGCATTAAATGATTAAAATGATGCTGTTAACCTCTTGCTGGGTTCGTAAAGCCGGCACATCATGTCCACAGCTCTGTCCTCCACCTTATTCCTCCAGGAGTTCAGTACCGGCGGGATGGGAAGGCCATGAGTCTGAATGTTAGCAAATTAGATTACATTATTTTAAACCTAAAACGACTACTAAAAATATAACTGGGTCCACAACTAACAAACAAAACAAACCCAAATCTAATGCCTTAAAAAAAAAAGCACATAGTTGTCTTTATAAACGGCGTTATCTGAGTTCCACTGATGCCGACTACAGTTTGGTTTAAATATACTTGAATATGACCTGAATATATACTTTATCATTTCCTTAAAATAATAAGCCATTCCTATATGGGTCTTTGAAACACAAAGCCTAAAAACATTCAATGATTAACATATTTAAGAAGCCACTGAAGGAAATATAAGCACTAAATAATGAATAGTTAGAATTTAGACAATAATTATTTAGTTATGAGAGTTTGCCAATGGAATGAGTATTTTTACTCTTAAAATAAGATATTTAGATAAAATGCACTTGAAATAAGACAAAGCGTTAATCGTGTTTTCTTATTTTAAATGTAAATTGTCTTGTTCCATGACTAATTATGTCTCACTAATAACTGATCAATCTTTAGATCTCTTTAAACCTGTTGGATTGCACCGACACATTCAGCAGCTAGCTAGTGTGCAGGTTGAACTTAGTCTCTATAATAACTGCCTCCAGACTGAAAGCCTGTGGTGAGACTCAGTAAAAAGTCAAATGGATCACAGAGTCACAGTGTCACCTCTCTGGCAACCATGTCATCCCTAATGAGGATGAAGTCGACGTGCTGGTGAGCAGCGATCCCCAGTGCACTCAGGATGCTCTGCAGGTCTGAAGCAATGCCAGGCAGAGTGGACAACTCAGCCCAGCGGGGGCTGTAAGGAAAAAAAAAAAAAACACAGACACACCATGACAACCTGCCAAAAGCGTCTGCAGTCTGCTCATGATTTTGAATTGGACGTTACTCTAGATTCCATTTTTTGGTGGCCAGAGTGGTCTGTGAGTGATGGAGCTCAGTGGCATGTTAGAAAACTACACCTACCCACTGAGGACTTTCAGCAGCTTGCATCCGTGATAGTTAGGGTAGAGAATTTCAGATTCTGCCTCTGTTGTCAGGATGGACACAATATCTACACACCAAGAGAAAAACGACAAAATGGATGACAGAAAAAAAAATCCAGACACAAAGAAAGGCAGGAAAGAAGAAAAGACAGGGGAGCAAAATAGGGAAGACAAGAGGAAGGACGTAAAGGCCTCAAGGAAGTAAAATCACTAGTGGTGACAAAAATAATAAGCTCAAGGATAACAATAGGGAATGAATGAAAACTTTTAGGCAAAGAGATGGAAAATATCGTCCAGTTATTTAATCCATCCATATCAAGATCAGTAAACCAACACCAGGCTTTCCAGATCAGGTAGATCCCTCTAAACATGCGAGCATTTTAAATCTACCTTTTTGCTTTTGCTGGAAGAGTCCAGCTATCAGGCACTTGGCAGACTCTATAGTCCTTACAATGTTAGTGGAGCGCACGCTAAAGAAAAAAAGAAATTACACGTGATCATTGGGTCATTAGAATAAAAAAAACTTTCATGATCAGCATCACTTACTAGACCTCTGCTGAGGTAAAGGTGGGGCTGAGGAAAGGCGTCTCCTCTATATATCTATTCCTCAACCTCTGGCCCAGCTCATACAGCTGCTGCATGCCCACTGTGGTCAGCTGACCAGGGAAACTGCCACCCTTCAAAATAAAATAATAAAAAGACTATGTCAAACATGTCAGATTCAAAAGTTAACCCAGAAATTTTATAGTGCAGTTCAGTGTTATAAAAAAAATCCATGACATATTTGGAATAGCACATTTCTTCTACTTGCTCTGAATGTTCAGAGCGGAAGTCAGTCAGAGGGGGAACTGCATAATAACTGGATCACAGCAGCTGATGCAAAATTCAATATGTGCTCATTTAAAAATGAAAAAGCTGTAAGATTATTGAACTAAAACCAATTAGATTTTCATGCCCTCATAACTCAATACACACACACATATATATATATATATATATATATATATATATATATATATATATTTTTTTTTTTATAAAGTACTGTCTAAGTCTGTCTATATAAAATTATATGTAATTACTGATGGAAAAGAGAATGTATGATAAAAATTGTGGCTATTTCAAAATGTATAACTTGCTGTGATGATTTTGAAGCTGTATTTATTCTAGTGTGCAGTTATTATCCAACTGTCCAAACAATTCTATATTTAATCTGGGTCTCATCTCCTCACTATGTACCTCTTCTAATGGTTTTGTGTATCTTTAGTAAGATTTTACTAAAATATGACAGAAATTAAAGCAGCTAGAGGCCGTCCTCATGTTGCAGACATTCAGCAGCGTAACAGGAGGATGAAAGCCCAGTTCTGCACATGGCAGCATAAAAGCTTCCTTTAAAAATAAGGAGAATTACAGTGAAATCCCGCAGCAGAACTAGGATCCACTTGGAGTGTGTTATTTTGGTTGGGTGGTAGCTTTATAAGCCTTTAAACCAGCTCCCTTCTGGCAAACCAGACCAGTAAATCGTGTCATTTATAGAAATATCAGTTATTAGGGGATTTATATGATGTTTAGTACAAAAGTTGGATTTCTGTGTTGTCTTTTTGTTTTAGGATTCTATTGTTATTTTAAGCCATTATTTTTTAACAACTCACACTACTGTAAGCAAACAGTGTGTGGTTTCTTGTAGCAGGGTTACAGCACGCTGTTAAACTCTGTACTTTATGAGAACAAATCTAAAAGGAGCCTGGCAGAGAATGATTATTTATCCAGTGCAACTAATGTAATCAGACCAAATGAAGCAACTTTAAGCCAATGTATTTCACAGTTGAACTGTTAGCCAGCATGATGACAGAGATACTTTTTTGTATCGCTGGCTGCATATAATTCAGATCACTTTTAATGCTCTCTGAGCTAAAAGTGGAATTTGCACCAGAGGGGTGAGGCTGATGGTTTGGTATGAGAAGACTGGCTTGTTCAGCGTCATGTCCTCCTTTACTGTTTCCTCATAACTCGGTGGCTCTTTTTAACTTAGAAATAGACAGTTTTTCTCTCATTTAGGGATGCAATAACTATTTCTGCTGATTAATCTGCTAACTAATAATTAATAATCAGACAGCAAAAGCTGCTTGATGCAATGGCAACTGGCCAATAGAGAGAAATTATTACATTAAAATATATTAGTATATATTTTTAGATGTGGAAGATAAATATTTAATCTTTAATGACAAGTAAAGCGGTTTCGTTAATTGTTGAAATGTTGCTGTATTTCCACCTCAGGGTGTAAAAGTCTTTGGCCATTGACTCTCATTAAAAGTTGTACATGCAGAGTAGCTCCTCTACTAGACAATCCTTGGGTGAAGCTAAGCAGCGACCTGAGGTGACAGGAAGTATCGTCACAGTCGTAGTGCGGCTGATTGACAGGCCGAGTCACGGAAGTTGGAGACGACTGGAGAGAGAAATGGCGCTAGAAAAATTAAATTAAGTGAAGTTCCTTTAAAGCAAACTTATCAAGAGAAGCTGGAGGTGAAACCGTTCTTACCTGATCAGCCGAACATCAAAATTAATCAGCAGTTCAAAGACAGAGGGAGACGGTACACTCAGTCTTTTTCCAGGACCTGGTTTAGCTACAAGACTTGGCTAACTGCATGCAGCGAGGCTAACGCTTTATTCTGCTTTCCCTGCCTCCTTTTTCAAACGTCAGGATCTGACCCAGCATGGATAGAGACAGGAATGACTGATTTAAAGCACTTTTTAGAAAAGGCAAAGAAGAATGAAGAATCTGGGATTCACATGGAAAATAATATAATATAGTGAACTTTTTCTAGGTGTTAATCTGCATAGTTGCTCTTAAATTTCGTTTTGTATACACTCTGTGTATACAAAATGACGATAAAGGTTGTCTAAGTCTTAAATAAACACATTCTCAGAAAATAAATATTTTTTTTTTTTTAAATATAAAGCTGACTAACAGATTCTCCATTATTAAACTGGTACATTATTTTTTTTTTTTTTTTAGGTCTGTGGAACAATATGGACCATGCTAAACACAGATTTGCCTTCAAAAAGCCTAAGAAGGGCAAGATTTATGTACAAAAAGTAAACCTGTACATTAAATTAAGTGTTTTGATAATGTTTGTGTTGTTGGCATTCATAAAAATATACTGGTGTGATAACTTATTATACGCTTGATTGCTTTTTGGTATAAAAACTCCATCAGCCACCGCTGGTTTGATGGGATATTTTTTGTTTTGCTTTCACAGAATTCTTTCCAAATGAAGTAAAAAAAAAAAAATGTTTCCATATTAAATTCTAAACAAATACATATATTTAAATGGTTTGGTTTAATTATTCTACAGAGTGGGTTTTTCTTTAAGCAAACGGCATATTTTAGCAGCTGTATTCCCCTGTTACTAATTCTTTAATTACTACATCAACTGACAGATATTTAAAAATGATGAATCAATGAATCCCACTGTTTCATCCTTTTGCCCAAAAGCATTAAACCAAACTAGAATATCATCATATTCCAGATACGGTAAAGAATTTTCACCATCTGCATCAGAATTTTATAAGAAATGGGTTTTCAAAAGGCTCGTCTCTGTCTAAACAAATTTTCATTTAATAGCTTTATATCGTTTATATTGTGTTAATGTCAAATAATGGTTGGAGGTAATAATGTGTTCCTGGCATTGCAAGGATTAAAGGTTGTAGGATATTTAATGCACATAACCCTAAACAGTGACTAAACCAATGAATGGGCATAGCTAGTTATTAAAGCAGGGTTTAGTTTTACCACTAGAGGGAGCATTATAAAGTAACATAATGCATTTATGTAAAAGTGTAACAGAAACCAACACTTCTTTATTGCACAAAGGCACATAAAATCTGAAAAGGCAGACGGTAACTTTATTACTGTATCGTTGGGTATAATAAGTTAAATATTACCCATACATAAAAACACTCAATATAACCCATCTGCTGTAAGCTGTTTTTCCATGAGCTAAAAATTCTATAAATTAATTGATTCTGTAATCTTTTATAAAGTGTTGTATTTGGTGTTTTGTAAACTGCTTCTGTAAAGCAGCTTCACCCCTGAGGACGATGAAGGTCTTTAATGACCTGCAGGGACGTCATTAGAGATGTTCTACAGATACAAACATTTCTCTCAAACATGTCCTTATCTTATTTCATTTAAACTCATTTTTTTGCAGCAGAAAACTTCAAACTTCGCTCTGTCCAGGAAGTACAGGTGCCTCTGTTTTATTCCTACAGCTCGTTTCCTGTTTCGATCATTAAGCAGAGCCACATGCATAAAAAAAAAAAAAAAAATAGTACAAAACTTTGCTGTTTCATTTCTTGTAAATTACTCTGGAAAGAAATGCTGTTGCATTAATAAGTTACTGAAGCCCAACAAAAGGAATATTGATGATAAATAAAACTAAGGCTAAGGTTTTGCCTTTCTTACCTTATGTCCATCATAAAAATTGTATCCCTTTAAGTCTTCTGACTTTCAGCATGTTTATAACCTCAGAAAGGAGCATATTTGTAAAGCCTGATTTTGTAAAGCAGCTGCAGTAAGAAGCTAAAACCAGTTGGTTCCTTATCCTCGTGTAAAGAGAACCTACTCACACTCAGTGTGTTCCTCCGATAGCTGTCCTCTACAGGAGCCGTTGGACGAGGTCCGCCCTTAAGGTCAGTCACTGTGTAGTTGATGTGTGTGTGTGGCGGAGCCTCCAGGAGCGTAGGATCCCACCGAGCCTTTATGTTCAGACAGAAACACATAGTGTTAGCATGTAACTAATAGACCAAATGGATGAGAAGAAACCAGCAGAGGGCTACCTCTAACACATCAGGCATGGACTTAAGAGGCGTCCGAGCGCCATGGCGGAACAAGACCTGGACCAGTTTGAGTTCGTACAGAGAAGCAGGGCTAGCAGCGGCTGCATCTGAAGAGCAAGTGTCTGATTCTGTCTTCTGCTGTGACCACCACATGGAGCCCAGGGCCACTGAGACCGAGCCTAACAGGCCCGCTTTGGTCAAAAAGTTCCTCATTGCTGAGCTGCAGAAACAACAGAGGTGAATCGCAAAGGTGAAAAACTATGATACAAATTATTAAGGCAATAAAACAGCATTTGAAATATATGGATTTATATTTATCTTTGGTCTGATAAAGATGAATAAAAATCCAGTACAATCAGTTGCCTTTAGAAGTCACAGTGAACAGTCCACATCTGTGCAGAAAAGCCTTCAACTAATATAAAACCTTTGCTTTCCTTCCTATTGTGTTTAACTGTGCCTCATTTCCCTGTATATTCCATCGTGTGTCCGCTTGTGTCTGTTTATGCTTCCAGAGAAATTAAACCTTATATTCTACATTCACTCCCATTAGGTCTAATCCCTTTAGACTGGAACCTGCTTCAGTTTCAGAGAGTTTTCTGGGTTTTATTCAGAATAAAGTTCTCTGGAGCTTTAAAAATATGCCTCTGAAGTGGAAAAACGATTTCTCCTGAACCTCAAAAAGCTTCCAAATTGAACTTCCAGAGAAGCAAATAGAGGAGAAACAAAAATGCACAGTTAAGGTGAGTTAGTAATTAAACCATCTCATGTCTGATCTCTATCTCCTCATAGATGAGGCAGATATGTTCTGCAAAGATGATCCAGCGAAGCTTTTTATAGATCTCTGTGAGACTGGCTCAGGCGGCTTTAAAGCTTTGTACTTTGTGACTAATAGAATAGGAATAGAATAAGATAGAAATACCCTTTATTGTACCAGTGGAGACATTTTGGAGATTCATTGGAAAAGCAAGCAGACAATAAAAGCACACTGGAACACAAAGGACTATAAAATATAAGAATAGAACACAAAAAATAAGAACGGACTATATAAAAAAGAAAATTTTTGTAACTATTAAATTTAATGATTAAAAATACACAAATACAAAGACAAGTTAGTTTTTTTGACCAGTCAAATTATAATAAAATACATTGAAGTTTGTAACATTACAGACTCTGAGCAAAACAAAAGTACTGCTAACTTTCCCATAGGGTGTAAATGGGACACTTCATGTTTAGTCTATAAAAGGCCTCTACAGTGCAGGGACTGTTCCTGACAGACCAAACCTGTTAGAGGAAAAACATTTCTACCATTCCCAATTGTAGAAAACATGAAAACCTAAAGGATGTTATTCAGATCAGTTGAATGCAACTGCTGCAAGTTAAGGTAATAAAGATAGATTATTTAAATTAAAAATTTTATAATTAAATAAAATAGATCAGCGAACAGCTTGACAGGAGGAAACTGGAATAAAACCAACTTTCTGGTTGAAGGATGACTGTTTCCACTGTGTCATCTGCGCTTAACAACAAATGCATTGCTTAGGTTTTCAATGACTCAAAGATTTCCACTTTTCCTAAATGCAAAAATAAATGATTTTTTGTTTTTTTGTTTTTTTAGCATTAAGTCATAATATTGAATTAAACCTCAAAGCAGTTACAAGATTATCTTCCAACTCTTATTCTTTGCACTGATCAGGGAAGAAAAACAGCAGATTTAAACCATTGGCTAAATAAGAAAAAAGAAAAATTATTTTTCCCCTCCAAATCATAAGAGAAAAGCTACCATTGCAAAGAAAGCTGGTTCTGACAGACTTTTCTAAAGTACTTAAAACACTTGAAATTAGTACTATACATTACTGCGCAAGTCCAGACAATTTTAACCATTTGGCCAGTTTTTCACAAGAAAAATAACTAAATATGTTAAATTTAATACAAAGAAATCTATATTTAAACTTTAAAAGAAAAAAGTAACTTACCTTGTTTATTTCACGAAAAAATAAAGTTCGAAATAAAAACAGCAGCTTCTGTAAAGAGATTTCCAAGGCAGTTTAACTTCTATGATTCAAAGTCAGAGCAGTTTTATACCTTTATGTCGATAAGTCAACGGTAGGGGGCGCAAGAGTCTGTCTTTAAATATTTACATTACCCGGTTTGGCCGTCAAGTCCTGAATACAGTCAGGTTATTAATATTTACCTAACCGTTAGTCCACTCACACAGTTTCAACACAAAGTCAAGCCAAAACGAGGCGATACGGAGTTTAAATACGGCAACTGTTTCGAAACTATCCAGTTACAACATCACAGGATGATACCGGAAGTTCAAACCCACAAACCGTTTAAGTACAGGACAGCTATCAGTTAGCTCTGCTCGTGTTACTTACTTAAAAAAAAAAAGTCGCTGGGGGTGAAAGATGATGAGCTGCCTCCGATACAAAATCCGACTTGACCTGTCATTCGCTCAGGAACTCTTGACACCGGTACCTGTGGACATGTCGCTGGGAACTGTAGGCAAACATACGACGGTTTACAATGGCTGCCATAGTGACGCAGAGGAGCCATAAACTACATATCCCAAGGATGACCACAACTGCGTCATATTTGCCGGTTGGGTTTCAATAATGCAAGAATGTGTTGAAGCGCCCTCTACAGGAAAAAAGCTGTACGTGAATCTATTTATTTATTTATTTGCTAGGACTTTTGAATTATTTCTGTACTTTTATTATTGTTTTATAAAATGTAATATTTGTATTTTCCTCCCTTGTTAGATTATTAAAATTACATTTCATAACAAGCACATAGAATACAGATTAAAATGTCTTATAATTCACTCTGATATAAGTAGATTTCTGTCGTTTTATCAAAATACGCAAAACAGATACATTTATATATATATATATATATATATATATATATATATATAATTTTATTTATTTTTTATTATTTATTTATTTATTTTTACAAATGAACCATAGTAAATACATTTTTTTAGCTAAAATTGGATACATGTTTTTTTTTTTTTTTTTTTAAGATAAAGATAGACATTCTGTGTATGTAAAAACTACCTGCCACAATTTGTGCACATATGTTTTCTTGTTTTAATATTTTATAAAGTATCCTCAAACGGTGCTTGTTTTTTTTTTTTTTTATCTTATCTGAGTATTAATGACAAAAGGGACTCCTTATTCTTACCAATAATTGTTTATTGGTATATTATAATATGCAAAAGAATAATAAAAACAAAAGAGCTGAATCCTTTTGGATGATCTTCCGACGTCCAATTGCAAATAAATTTGTTTATTTGTTTGCACAAATATTTTCTATATAGAATGAAAGTAAAACAAAAATACATACAGAGTAAAAAAGAACACATATTGCATAGGAATGATTATATAAGAAATCCAGAATACAATCTGAAAAACACAAGTGCATTGTCGCCACCTAGTGGCAGAATCTGCTCATTACGCTACATCTCAGCAGGAAACATTCTTTCAAATTTAGACTTTGAATACCTTCAGAGAGACAATATAAGAAGCTACATTCTGACATCACGTTTGCACACAAACATAAAGGAAAGTTTTTTCACATATCAAAGTTATTATTCTTTTATCTCTTTGTTTCTTTTTTGATCAAAATGTTTAGTGCAATTGAATTAGTAAAAGAAGCTGCAGAGAGAATAATAATAATAAAAAATCTATCCTCTTTAACCTTTCAAGGCACTTTTTATTTTCATGCAAATATGAAAACTGTTCACAGTTAATGCCATAAATATTCCTCATCTCTTAATGATGCCAAGTTCTGGGATTGGTAAAATGGAAAATAACAAAGAAAGAGATGAATTTGATTTAAAATTAAATAACATCGAAAATAAAATTATTCAGTATATCAATTTCAATTTCTCTGTTAACCCGATGTATTTTTGCAGTTCGTTTTAAAATTATTAATTTCAAGCTTAGTAACACGCCTCCTTATCTGTCCAGAAAGCATTCGTATGTAACATTTGTGCAGTCTTTTCACAGGTCAGTGTTCTGTAAATCGTCCGTAGATGGTATAAAAAGTCAGCCCCTATGACAGTATTGTCTTTTAGGGCTATTAAACTTACATCCTGCCAAAACATTTTTCAGCTCCTTGATGATTTATTCGCATGTTCTTGCATTGAAACCATAAACTTCAATTGACCAAAACAATTTTACAGAAATTTTTGTAGTGAAATGACAATGATTCAGCGCTTTCTGAAAAGTTGTGTCCTCTCTTATTTTTCTAACTGTAAAATGCAAACCCAGCAATTAACTGCTTTTTAAAGTAATCCTAGAATCCACCCGTCTTTAATATATCATTATAATTTAAGTGATGAGAGTCTCATAGGTTTGCTTGAAAAAAAGAACAATTAGCATTATGAAAAGCAAGGACCAAAACAGAGTTAGAGATGAAGTTTAAAGAAGATTAGGACCTAATAGAGAATCCCTAAAAACTTGTTTTGAAATTCACTTTTTGATAGAAAATAACCAGAAGCACACAACCATTTTTACACAATGCAGTTCGCTGGTGTTTGTTCAAAGTAAATGTAATTCTGATGTTTTGGGAAACGTCTACATGTGGTCATAGACCTTCCTCATCCATTATGGCTGGGCATGTGCTACCTAACGAAAGGGGAGTGGACTAAATTTAACATCTAGTTTTGTGAATGTAAATATGATGCACGCCTCAGACTTTTAACTATTTAATGTCTTAACTATTTAATGTTTTGTATGTGTTATGTATTGTTTTATGGCTTTGTTGTAAAGCACTTTGGGTACCATTTGGCTATTGTAAAGGGCTATACAAATAAACTTGATTGATTGATTTTCCTTCACCTAAAATAACACTTTAAGCTGGTTGATCCCCATAACTTTTGATAAACTGTAAAACTTGTGGTTCTGACTTGAAAACATGTAATAAAAGCTGAAGGGATGTTGATATTTTTGCGAGGCTTTAGAGTTGTGCTTATAAGTCATGGCTCTATCCTCATTTTGGTTCTCTTTGAGACCATCTATACTGCCAGGTCGTCTTGGCGCGCCCGGCTGCTGGTGCCGCTGGTCCTGCTCAAGCGTCTTTTGTCCTTCAGGAAGCCTGAATGCATCAGCGATGAGCAGCCGTTTGGTAGCTCCGCAGGGGCCTGCTCATATCTGATCCTCAGGAAATCCTGCTCGTCCTCTAGGTTGTCACAACTGTGGTGCCGTTCAGTTGCCAGGTTGGCTGAGTTTTGCTGCAGAGCCATCCTGGTGTTAAAAGGATGGGAGGCGATGGAGGTCATGGGGTTCATGGACTCCTGCGGTGTCAGACAGTGTTCGAAATCAGGGGGTGGGGTGCAGGAGTCAGAAGGTTGGGGCTGGTTACTGGATTTTACAACCACGGTCATGGTTTTTTGGTTGTTCTTTTCTACCATCCTTTTACGTATGCAAGCCTTAATGCTCTTCCAACCAAGATGGTAGAGCTCCAACACAGACAGCAAAAGAGACACGCCGGCTACCACCAGCATGAAGACAATGAAGACGTTTTTCTCGGTGGGCCGCGACATGTAACAGTTCACGGGGTTGGGACAGGGCCATGCCTTGCAGAGGTACAGCGCCTTGAGGAACACCCCATAGATTAGATACTGCACCACTATGAAGGTCACCTCCATCACTGTTCGGATCAGGATGCTCAGGATGTAAGTGCGGAGCAGGGCTCCTTTTAAGCGAACCGCACCAGTTCCCTCAGATATTATCTCCTTCCTGTTCTCCTTCTGCTGGAGGTACTCCTTCTCCCTCTGCAGGTCTTCTCCATCATCCTCCCTCGCCTCCCTCTCCTCCTGCTCAATCCTCTTCCTCTTCTCCTCCCTACGAACTATGTGCATAGCATGGCCCATGTAGATCAGGGAGGGCGTGGAGACAAACACGATCTGCAGCACCCAGTAGCGGATGTGGGCGATAGGGAAGGCACTGTCATAGCAAACGTTGGTGCAACCGGGTTGCTGAGTGTCACACAGGAAGTCACTCTGCTCATCTCCCCAGGAGGACTCCGCTGCCGTGCCCAGAACCAGGATGCGGAAGATGAAAAGGACGGTGAGCCAAACCTTTCCCACGGAAGTGGAGTGCTCCTGGACCTCTTCAAGGAAATTCCCAAGAAGAGACCAGTCCCCCATCTCTGCTCAAAGTCCAAGGACACACCTGGAATTAAACAGTGGAAAAAGAGAAATATAAATAACTAGTTTGCATTCCAGTTCAGTGAAATGGACGCTTGTCATATTATGTCTTCAAAATAGCTTCTCAGCCTGTGAAATAAATGGGGACTGGATACATTGGCATGAGAGCAAACTTTTTCCCATGAGAGCGAGATCGAGAGAGCCTAGGAGTCATTTACGGAAACACAGAAACAGTTTTTGTAACTTACAAAAAAAGTCATGAGAGCATTATTGATCTTTTTAGAGGGGGGTTCTATACAACACTTCTAAAATAGGACTTCTTCATAACTATCAAAATAATGTCTGACCGTCAGTTGCCTGATAATAAAATATTCCCCTGTGCTTCACATGTCTGGGCTGAGAATTAGGCTTGAAGGACAGACGCCTTTTCTTTAATGTGTGGCAAAAAGTTTAACAAAAATGTCAAGTCTGATTTAAACGATCCTATACTTTTGGGAAATGATTCCAAAAGGCAAATTTATTATGAAAATGAAACTGCATAACACAAAACCGTTTTCTTTTCCTTATATGGAATCTAAAATTTTGACATTCACAGACAATTAAGTTCTTACTCACCACTTGTTTCTGAGAACAGAGACAGCAAAAGGTTTACTGCTGTTTACATTTGAGGTTAGACTTTAAGCTAGCATGTTTCACCTTCTTTTTTTTAAACATTTATTTCATTAATTTCTTCAATTGCCCAGGTGTTTGGGCGTTATGTTTATCTACACCAGGTGCGTTTTAGTTGAGGCCCAGGGGCCAATTGTGACCCTCGGAGATCAAGTATTGCTAAAGTTAGCTTTGCCTTTCATTCAGATACTGAATTAAAAATTACTACCGTGCAAAATTTCTTTAGAAAACAACTGAACAAAATTTGAATCTTTCATAAAAGGAAAAATGCAAAGTTCAGCACATGATTTTCACTATTTACAGTTTTGCTTCTGCTTTTTTTAAAGTTTAATTTCAAATACGGCAAAAAAAAAAAATCTAAGTGATATTATTAAATAGTAGACTTAAATGGGCCGATGTCATTGTTGCTGAAAAGACACAAAATGTCTTTTCAAAATGACAGAAAAATGGCAAGGCTAGATTATTTACATAGCAGATTTCAGCAGCAAGACTTTTCACAGTGCTATAAATAATTGGAAACACAGATAAATTAGAATGCAGGATAA